GCTGGAAGAATATACTGAGTTTGAATCCTAATGCATGGAGTTTGTGTGCTTTTCAAGGTACTCTGGACTGACTATAAGGTAAACCTATGTCTGCATACATGTTTATTTTTTTCTTTGAGAGGGTGTAGTGACCTGTGCAGGGTAAAGGAAATAGACACAAGTCTGACAAAAAGCAAAAACAAGAACAAAAGGAAGGTAAATACATTTTTTTAAAGCATTGTGGTCTTGACTTGCAGCATTGCTGTTTTTTTTATACAGGTTCAACAACATCGCAAAAACACTTTATGAATTAATAGTCTGCACATTAATTATTATTTAGTTTCAGTTGTTACAGATTTACTACTATTTGCATGACGACTCTCTAGATGCCACATTTAGGTTTGTAGAAAACGTTCTAATCTATTCATGCAGTGGGTAGAGAAAAACCGAGACGAAAAGGAAGGTCTTGCTCACTTTCTTCTATTCCCAGCTGGGAAGTTATCTCAGCCACAAGGATTGAATTTGGCCCCAAGAGAGAACCAAATTGGACCAATCAATACAATTAGATTGTTTTTCTACAGCGCTTCGCGTACATTAATCCGGCTAGAGCAGAATATGTAAACTCATTCAGCAAGTTGGATGGTTTATTCAGGAGTCAAGAAGACTAATGTCAGGCTTTGTGGGTTAAATATTTAAAGGAGCTGCTGAATTCACCTCAGAGGTTTTTCTAATGATGCTTTCTTGGAACTGATACAATTGGCAAATAATTATTGATTTCAACTATAGAGGAGACTGGCTCCCTTTCAGAGCACTGCTCTGCCAGGTTTGCAGCCCGAGGATTTTCTAATTAAATCCAAACATGTACGTTATTTGAGTAGTCACGCATTTTTCTTTTTAAATCTCAGCAGCTTGCCATCTTGTGTTTGAGCAAAGTACCCTCCTGCTGCATGCGAGGAAAAGCATATTACAGCCATTTCACACCAAGGGCAATTTTTAAATTCTCATCACTTTTCTGACTGTAGAAGAGGTGAGACAGCGAGAGGGTGAAAATGCTACCCTGGAAACAGTTGACGGCAACACAAATTACCAGAATACAAAGACAAAGAGGCAACATAAAGTCTTAACGTGCTCAGCCTTGGGCCAAACTAATAACGCCACAATTGAATCAGCTCTAAATAAATGATGGTGCTGCAGTTTAATAACATATCACATGCTTCTGTGACAGCATTAGATCTGGCATGACATTAAATAATCATCCAGCAAGTTCAAACTAAAGGGCATTTGTGAGAAGTAAAGAGAGATCAAGTCTATCTTTATTTGTTTTGTTTGGGAGCCTCAGTCAAACACCAAGCACGCCCCGTGAATGTCATGAGAAGTGTAGATGTGAAGCTCAATAAATCAACTACAGTTACCATAAAAAAAATAAAAAAAAAAGGATTTCATCAACAGTTTTTATGTTGTACAGTTGTATTGCATTAATAAATCATTGTCACCACTTAGACCCCCAAGAAAGAACCGATTTTATTGGTATAAAGGGAAAAATCTATTAAAGGATATAATTATTCCCATGAATTTCAATAAAAAATACATTACCGCAACACTTTTAGACATTGTTATTATTTCAGGTTTAAAAAATGCTTTGCTCCATGACAGCCTCCCTACTTGAACCATGTCATAAGTAAGATAATAAGGCACAAAAATGCTCATCTCTTACATAAGATTATTTTATTAATTCTATATCATGTTCCAGAAACATTATTTTACAATATCTCCTTTGCCCTGGTGTGTCAGGCTGGGACCCCTGACCTGATCAAAATGTCTCTGACTTCTTACTGGCAGTTGTCAAGCAGGTATGAAGCACCTTCAGGTACGTAATGATAGTACAAAACATCCCATGGTAGACGGCACCATGCTGCATGCTGCAGGATTGATCAAAACCAAATGTCTAGCACCCAAAAAGGCTAATTCAAAGTTGAGACGTGCATCTCAAATCAGTGTATAATGTCTACTGCATGTATTAGATATTACAGCATAGCAGGAGTACTTTGTAGCCTCCAGGCACCAAAGATAATACAGTCCGAGTCCCACAATTCATTTTAAAGCAGCTTTACGTCTCCCTGTTTAGTCACCTAATATAATCCCTTATCCTCCGGTGTGACACTATGAATCCTCAATTCGACTGAATCACTTTATCTGTCAAAGATAACTTGGTCTTCAACAGCTTTTCCCCTTGTTTAATTGCATTTTAAAACGATTGTCAAGACACCACGGTCCATTAATGCTATTTTAAACAATTTATATGGAAAACTTTTTTTTTCTTTTTGAAGTGGAGTTCTGCTGTTATTATGAGCACCAAGTTTTCTAAATATTTTAAAGATCTTTCTGTACAAACTGGGTGACAGGACAAGAAGTAAATATAGGTTGAGGTAACAGCCATTCGATTTATCTCAAAAGTTTTATCCCAGTTAAAATGAAGACATATTGATGAGACATTTTCAGACATGGACTTGTTTAAATGTGACTTTGGACATCTCCTTAGTGTGGATAGCAGCTTACTGGTGAGCTATGCTATTCCTTTTTACACCAAACTCCCTGGTTCATTAAAGGGTTAGCTGAACACGTAATACTTGTTGCATTGACCATTGTTGTTTGATATAAAGCAATATACATGACAAACTCCAGACGTTCCTTAACATACATAGGCCACCCATAACTTTTCATATAACCATCTAATATAAAGCACTTTTCACATTAACTGTAATTACAAATTAGTTGGTGTAGCTGTGAAATGGTAGCCTGGGTGCCATTCCGAACTTAGTCCCGCCCACAAGGTTTGAGGTCGGGAAGTTCGGTCTGGCATTGCTCAAAAGTAGCGCGAGTATGCTAGCACAATATCTGGCGGGCCAATCAAATTGTCAGGGCGGGCTTTATACGATGATGGACAGATGATCAACAGTAACGTAATCAACCACGTGACCAAAGCGCGCTTGGGTGACAACAACAATGGCTGCCGCCGGAGAGTTGGGGTGAGTAGATTCTGCTATTAGGTCTGTTCTAGAAGATATCGACAGCAAATTAATTTTAAAAGAGGAACAAAGAAACGCGATCAAGGCTCATCTTCTTATTATAGGCGTGCAACTGCACGCTTTGATTTTTGTTGACAACAACTATGCGTCGCTTAACATACGTCACGCACTCCGTTGCTCTTATTGGTTGTAGGTCTATCCAATTGAGTGCAGAGGCTTTTTTTTCCTGGTTCGTTCGAAACACGCCCCATAATCACAGCTCTATGGAGCAGTATCAGACTCATATTCTGACTAGAATTGAGTAGGACTACGTCAGGCTAGTGAAATGGCTCAATATCGCGTGAAAATACATTAAGTCTTTTTCTTGAAAGTTTTTTCTCTTTAAATCCTTTTTTTTATATTAAGGAATATATATTTTGTCAAAAAATAGCAAGAATTTCCGCTTTAAAAGAAAATATTCTGGAAAAAAGCACAAAATTCTTTAAATGGCTCTGTACAGTATAAAGCTAAAGCCAGACAGCTTGCCTGATACTACAGACAGAATTTGTTGCCATTTGTTTGAAATTAAATTAAATATCAAATTTACTGCTAGTTTAGTTTATAGTTTGATATGTGCCAAATTATAAACTGCACTCATTAGCATTGGAAAAACAGATGCATTTGTTGGGAGCTGGAGATATTCCACCTTTCTCCAGCAGAGTCCGCCGTGGATCCTCTGAGGGAGCCTCCTGCACAGCTGCAGCTCGTCAAGATCATCAGAGGATCCACTACTTAAGCTGTCTTCAGACCTTGCCTCAACGCCCCAGTGTTGTTCCAGTTGGTCAGCGCTTAAGCCTAGATCCTCAGAGTAATTCGATGACTTTTGAATCCAGCTTGGACTCTAATCCTTGTTTCTGTTTTCCAGGAAACCTGTGCCTCCTCTGTGTAAGCTCAGGAAGAGCTAACCTGCCGAGCCGACCCTCAGAGCCAAACCTGAAGATTCACAGTGAACCTCCAAGCAGCTCTGGACTAGAGCTGGGAAACCCAAAGCCAAGGTCTGTTCAAATAAGACGTGAGACGCTGAAGCAGCAAACGGACTCCACTGATGAATTCATCTCCAGAACCAACAGAGACTCTCCCAAAGCTAACCTCAAGAACCCTCAAGGTACAACCAGTAAACTTCAGGAAATCAAACCTCTGTTGGCAACGCTAACTGAACTGTCTCTCACGCAGACTCCGGTGAACCAGAATCCAGGCCCCGAACCTGAACCAGTGTAGACTGTGTGCTTGTGCATAAATAAACTGTTAAACTTTCATCCTTGTGTCCGTCAGTGGTGTTCTGCATTCTTGGGTCGCTTTTAGTGAACCCATCATGACAGCATTACCAACAGACTACATATTAGGGTTGTTTTATTTTTACATTTTTTTTCTGCAGTGGAGAATTTGTTACCCTAGATTACTTGTATTATGCAGGACTCTACTGTATAATATTTTCTGTATTTTATTTGCATGAAGGGAGACAAAGAGGAGCACATCCAGGGTCACATCAGTCAGAGAGCCAGTATCGACTGCTTGGAACTTTTTAACTGAACCCAACTAAAAAATGTATTTAAATTAATAAAAAATAAATAAATAAAAACTGAAATACCGCCTTCTGTTTGTTTGGTTTTTAATATACAGTATATTCATGAAAAATCCTTTATGTTCATATTAAAACTTTTAAAAAGGCATGAAATAGGCAGACACTGAACATTACGTTAACATTAACATTACAGTTGGTCCAAATAAATAAAACTAACGCTTCAGGAAGCTTTAGAAGTACACTATAATATTGCACATGATATTGTTATCTATAAATGAAGACGCTTGGTTAAGTGCTTGTTTTAAGTATTCCAGACCTGTTTAAAAAAAAAAAAAGCAAACTGCCTCATGGCTTTGTCACTAAAGTTAAAGACGGTATAAAAGTGCAGCTGTGAAGGACCATATGTGACACAAATGAATACAGTACAGAGTAGATTCATTTGCAAGTGAGCCGATTTACTTTGAGAGGGCGAATGAGCAATACTTATCATTCATACAAAACGTGTATTACTTCGGAGGAATGTGCAAACAAAGCTTTAATAGAGGATGCCTTCCCATGCTCTCTGATGCAGGCATTTAAAGAACTCTACAGTAACAAAGAAAACTCACATCCAAGAGTAGCACTTCTACATACTCAGTGAATCTGCTTGCATAGTTGGGTGCATGCATAAGCAATATATCATGCAACAACTGCCGTACACTTCGAGAACTATGAACTCTTCTCAGCGTGTCAACACGTTGGGGGCTGATCTACTCTCAATCTATAAATGTGCACAAGCTGTAATGTCAAATGTGAAGACAGAGGATGTGCTGACTCAAACACACCATAGCGCTGTATCTACAAGTATGGTGTTCAGCAGAGACATCCCAGCTGTCTTTGAAGGTGTTGTTCAGCAGCGGGTGAGTTTTTTTTTTTTTTTTATGTTCTTTTTATTCTTTACATTGACCCTGTGTTGATCTGAGAGGAATGTTCGGAGATGTCTGGCAGTCTGAAGAGGCCGATGCCCATGACATAACATGGACATCTCTAGACAGCTTTCAGCAGCTAGCAGAGGTGGCAACAGGTGGGGAGATGTCTGAACATTTCACAGGTTATTACCAGTAAATGTTGCATTAAGAGCCACTGCGAACCAAAGTTTCTCCTCAGTTAACGCCGGCGACACCTTTTCTCAGCCTCTCAACACATTTGTTTTTGGCTGAACAAGAAAAAAAAAACATATTTTAAAGGATGCTGCAGAGTTTCTACACAACGCAGCATATGTAAACAGTTTCAGGTTAAATAGGCTTAATTGTGTTTTACCTAAAGTTACAGGTTCAATGCTTAGTAAATATTGTATTTCAATTACAAATTTGTCAAGACCTGCAAGTTAAACAATTTCGGTTAAATATTTCTAATGATTATCTGAGGCACTGATTTTTTGTTGTTGACGTATGGCTCTCAATTTTGAAGGAGAGCAGTACAAAGTGATTTCAGAAAATTATTCACTGCATCAGCATGTTGAAAATCTCCATAAACATCCTTAGGTGGCTGAGCTGTCCATATTTGATCTATCTCAGCCATGGGATCTGCTTTCCATCTTGTGCAAAGTCACTTTTTTTTACTTTCAGCACCGACTGAGCCGCTCCTCTCCCAACAGTGCTACAGACAGAGCAAGGCAATACTTTGTGTCCATGCGTAAATATTTACAATACAGTATAATATTCTTTCAACTCAATGCAAACCAATACAAAGTGCTTTGTTTAAAATCCATTCCGTAATTAATGTTTAGGTAAGTGTCCTCTATGGCAGCTGGTGTTCAGAGAGCACTGGAAATTGATGGGTGTTTTAAAAATGTCTGTCAGATGGCAAAAAAAGGAAAACACCTCAGAGCTGCACAAGAAAGACTCTCATTAGACCCTTCGGGTAAAATCACTTGGATCTCTGGCTAGTTTGTGAAGAACCGATAGGGATCTTCCTGGACTGCAGTGTCTTTTTAGCCGGCTCTTTCTTCGAAGGATCCTTTGTGACGGCCGAAGACTGCTTTTGTGCTTCAGGGGGCTTGGATTTAGTGGTGGGCAGCAGCGAATTTTTAGCTGCACCTGATACTTTAGAGGATTCCTTATCTTTGGCTGTACAATGCAGTTCTGAACCCGCATTTTGAACTTTTTTGCTCGCTGCGCGCTTGATTACATCCCCGTTGCTTTCCTCTGGAATAGCTTTCGCCTCTCCTGTCCCTGATTTACCGCTCTCGCCAGGTTTACGGTTCTCCTTAGGCCTCAAAGCGGTTTTGAAGAAGGACAGAGCTTTGTCTTCTGTCTTGCTGGTCCCTCGAGGTCCCCTTGAAGATGGAGCTGAACTAGTAGAGGAAACCCCCACACTTGAGGATCGGAGACTAGTGATAGAAGAGCTACTGCTTGAGCTGCGGCCTGCTGTCCTGTCCTCCGGAGCTCTGCCGGATCGTCCTTCAGCTCTATTCGCAGCACTCAGCCTGCAGGAAGGAGCCCCCTGGCTGACTTTCCTATCTGCCACACCGCTCGCCCTCGAGGATTCTCGACTAGTGCTCCTATCTGCTACTCTAGTCCTTTCTCCAGTGGAGTGTTTCTCACTGCCTTCTTTTTTCGATGTCTTCTTCTGAGTGTGCGAGCTCTGTAACCCCATAGAACCGCTCTTCCGCTGCTGCGTGTCAGGATGCAATGCCTCGGTGTTCTGGGACGATGTTTTTCTGGACGGGGTTGCCGTTCTTGAAGAAACTCCCTTGCTTGTTTTAGGTGGTCCAGTGCTTTTGTCTTTGGGGTTTGATGCGGATGCTCCACTCTTGGACTGTGTTCGAGACGGTGACTTGTCGATGGCTGGAGACGCAGGGGACAGGGAGCTGGAGGATGTTGAGGATGTGGGAGGGCGTTTCCTGGGACTTCTTTCTGCTTCCAACCCAGTCTTGCCTGAGGTCCTTTTGCCACCAATACTTTCTGTGCTCCCATTTCTTTGCTTCATCTCCTTTAAGGCTATTCCATGTCGAGGACTAATGTCCTCAGCATTGTTGTTTTCCCCTGTTGGGTTTGAGCTCCTCTGTTCTGTCTGTACCACCGACTTAAAGCGCCCCTGTTCAATTAGCCTCTTCGTTCCCACATTAGTGTCCAAAGCAGCGAGGGCTGACTTCCCTCCTGACATTTTATCTGGCTTAGGTGAACCAGAAAAACACGGGATTGTTGGCTGAATGTCAACTACCTCTCCTATCCTCTCCAGAGTCGGGGAGGAATGGGACTCTATGGAGAAGCGTGAGGGAGAGTTGGAACGAAGCTGGAGCTTAGCTGAGTGAGACCAGGAAGGTTTTGTGCCATTTTCACTCAGAGCAAGAGGGCTGGCAATGGATGATCTTGAGGAGTATGTTTGCCTCTGCATTCCTCTGACTGCTGGTCGTGTAGAAAGGCCTGCATTTTGGAAAGATACACATTAATGCTCAGCTTACTGAGAAATATGATGTACTTTAGAGGCAACGGAAAATAAAGTCTGTGCTTTTAAGGGATTGCTCTTCACCATCATCTTCACTCCTTTCACCAGCAAACTCAGCAGACTCGGAGAGAGAAGCCAGAGAGGTGCGTCTTGAGGAACCGGACGAGGCCTGGCTGGGAGGACGGCTTCCCATCAGCCGACTTATCCAGTGCTCACACAGAGAGGAACTGGTGGAACCTTATGGGGCCCAAGCAGAGAGCGGTTAAAAAAAACATACAAAAAATACTCTTAAACAAAAACTCCCCTCCTATCAAATGGGATTTTCTTCTATTTATCTGTTGGAGAAGTATCGTTAAAAAGGTAAACTGAATAAAGACAAGCAAGATGCATTTATCAATCAATTTAATGAGAGTTTTGGGGTCAGAAATTTTACATTTTCACCCAAGTTATCGGTAAATGAATTTTAAATCAGTCGTTAAATGAGAAAGTGCACATGTGCAGTTGTATCAAATTTATTAACATTTATCAAAATGAATCAAGTAATATTTGAGATTCAGGTGGTTCTTCTAGGTTTTCATACATTTTTCTCCTTACTTAGGAGATTTTAGGACAAATTTCAACAGGAATTAGAACTTAATTATTCAACTTGAGTTATATATATTTTTTTAGTTAGTTAAGTTTACTCAATCAAGGACTTAAGACAATGTTGTCTTATAAAACAATGCAACAAATGTTTAGTATAAATGCTAACCAGCGGCAAATTTGGAAACCATTTCTGTGCTTGGACTTCTATATCAAGATAAAACTAATGACTTCAACAACACAGACACACATATTTTCATATTTCTAGCCATATTAGGACTTTACATGTACCCTTATCCTATTTAATCCTAAATTTAATTCCCACTGTACCTCTAAACCAACCCCTAACATAAAAAAGGGAGTCCGGTCCACTGGGACCAGACTTTGGTCTCCATTACACCAGCTGAACCTCAGAAATTTAAAGTACAGACACACACACAGCATAAAAAATGTTTCAAAGGTTAAATAAAATATTTCTGATTTATGTCTGTGATGCAATTTTTACTCTTTGCTCACAATAAACAACTTCTTTAGCAGTGAATCCAAATGTTTTTTATCCATCATTTGCATGAAAAAACAAAGTAATAGCTGTGTACCGGGGGAACGTTTCATGAATGTTTACTGTAAACTCACATTTTTCACCAAACTTCTTAGATTTATGTCATTTTATCTCAATACAAATTTCAATTTACTTTTATACATAATGATAACCAAAAACCTATTAAATAAACCTTACAAAAAAAAAAATAGCTTATTCATCAAAGACACTACAATTATTATTGGAATTGCATAATAATCAGGTTACATTTATGTAATTTAAACAATAATGTATTTGAAACAAATACACTCATTAGTAATAATTTTGGGTGAGTATATTTTATTAATACTAATAATTAAGTATGGCGATTCTGTAGTTCAGATAGAGGTTTTATTCTAAAAATAAATTGAATTATATAAGGTTTATAGTAGGTTTGTGTTAAAATTATCTTTAAAAAAAAGTCAGTGGGAATTTAAAATAAAAATGAAAAATATTTATCTGTATCATAAAGATGTTTTAGGGGTGGTAAATCTACTGCTGGAACGATCAAGATCCTGTTAGCAATTACCTCCGACAGAGCTGTTGGCAGACCAGGACGGGATTGTTGCTCGTCTTTGATAAAACAGGATGTAACCAGTCTGCTTGCAGACCTCATCTTCAGATATTGGATGAACGTCACTATCATCGAAGCAATACCACTGTCCATCAATGGAGTTCTTGCAGTAAGCTGTAAAGGAATAAGATCATGTAAATATCATGGAGGGCTCTTATCAAAAAGACCTCAATAAAACCATCACTTTATCAAGTCTACCTGTGTAATGCCCCCCCTGCATGGTCCCATGATGGTTGCAAACTGCGTACAGGTCGTACAGGTAGTCCTCAGGATCTCGGCCCATCCCATAAGGCCTCCTCCACGGCGACCAGTGGGAGGGAAGACTCCAGCTGCTCTGGCTTCTCTTCACCATGTGTGGGGCCATGTCCATGCCTGTGAGTGGAAACCTCACCATGTTCTGCATCTTAACGCGGCGATCTCCATCCTGAGGCGGGGGGTGGATGAACGTTATCCAGATATATTCGGGAACCAGACGATCAAATGACACCAGTCGTTCATCCAGACATGTCTGTACCTGTCGGAAGCGCTTGAGGTGAAGAATGAGGATGTCTGGCAGAGTCCAAAGACTCAGTTTGATGCTGCCCTGCTGAAGCTGCTTACAGTGGGGACATCTCCATGCATCATCGGGAGCCAGCTGGAAATGATGTCAAATCTTAAATAAATGACACACTTTTATAAACAACCTTTCATGTAAACTGCCTCGACAAACCATCCATACCTTTTAAAGTTTTATATATAACCACCACATTCACTGAATTATATTGTGACTTTATGTCCAACAACAGCAATGTATTATGATCTAAAAAAAATATGTATTGATTTCTATACCTTTAAACCTTGATCACCTTTCCAAACTGTGTCAAATAAAATCCTCCCTCAGCATGACACTGCCACTACAACCATCTCCTCTTCCTTTATTATTATGTTTGGTCAATATATTGCCTCATCATTAAGTGACTTAGGAAGGTATTTTTTATAACAGACACTACCGTTCAAAAGTTTGGGGTCACATTGAAATTTCCTTATTTTTGAAGGAAAAGCACTGTACTTTTCAATGAAGATAACTTTAAACTGGTCTTAACTTTAAAGAAATACACTCTATACATTGCTAATGTGATAAATGACTATTCTAGCTGCAAATGTCTGGTTTTTGGTGCACTATCTACATAGGTGTATAGAGGCCCATTTCCAGCAACTATCACTCCAGTGTTCTAATGGTACAATGTGTTTGCTCATTGGCTCAGAAGGCTCATTGATGATTAGAAAACCCTTGTGCAATCCTGTTCACACACCTGAAAACAGTTTAGCCCGTTACAGAAGCTACAAAACTGACTTTCCTTTGAGCAGATTGAGTTTCTGGAGCATCACATCTGTGGGGTCAATTAAACGCTCAAAATGGCCAGAAAAAGAGAATGTTCATCTGAAACTCGACAGTCTATTCTTGTTCTTAGAAATTAAGGCTATTCCATGCGAGAAATTGCTAAGAAATTGAAGATTTCCTACAACGGTGTGTACACCTCCCTTCAGAGGACAGCACAAACAGGCTACTGCGGTTACTATTTAATGAAGATGTCAGGTGGGGACCTTTGAGGCGTCTGTTTCTCAAACTAGAGACTAATGTACCTCTTGCTCAGTTGTGCAACGCGGCCTCCCTCTTCTTTTTCTACTCTGGTTAGAGCCTGTTTGTTCTCTCCTCTGAAGGGAGTAGTACACACTGTTGTAGGAAATCTTCAATTTCTTAGCAATTTCTCGCATGGAATAGCCTAAATTTCTAAGAACAAGAATAGACTGTCGAGTTTCAGATGAAAGTTCTCTTTTGCTGGTCATTCTGAGTGTTTAATTGACCCCACAGATGTGATGCTCCATAAACTCAATCTGCTCAAAGGAAGGTCGGTTTTGTAGCTTCTGTAATGAGCTAAACTGTTTTCAGATGTGTGAACATGATTGCACAAGGGTTTTCTAATCATCAATTAGCCTTCTGAGCCAATGAGCAAACACATTGTACCATTAGAACACTGGAGTGATAGTCGCTGGAAATGGGCCTCTATACACCTGTGTGGATATTGCACCAAAAACCAGACCATTTGCAGCTAGAATAGTCATTTACCACATTAGTAATGTATAGAGTGTATTTCTTTAAAGTTAAGACTAGTTTAAAGTTATCTTCATTGAAAAGTACAGTGCTTTTCCTTCAAAAATAAGGACATTTCAATGTGAGCCCAAACTTTTGAACGGTAGTGAATGCATGCTGCAATTACTTCTACCTGTTTCCTTTCCCTTCAATTACCCAAATATGTCCAACTTTTTTTTCTGTTACGTAAAATCCTAAAAATGCATTGAATACTGCGGCTATAAGGTTGTAAAATGGGAAAAGGTTCCAGAGCTAACAATTCTTTAGCGAGGCACCGTTTGTAGGCAGCGGGATCAACCAAAAGAAGTGGGCCAGCATCAGCCTACCTGCTCCTCTTTGGTGTATAGCTGTAAGCACTGGGCCAGCGTGCAGGTCTGAGGCTGCAGATGCTGCTCCTTAACCTGACGTACGCTCTCTGCATCGGGGATGTACTCATCCTCGGTTCTCTTGAACAGACTGTGGGCGTGGCACAACACACAAGTCACAGAGGGACCACACAGATCAGTCGCTGGAGCTGACAGGAGGCGGTAAGCCACACACACACATCTGCTCGGAGCCTAATGAGGACTGTGTTGATACTTACCAGTCTTTTGTCTCCTTGTCCCATTCAACAACAATTTTGACATGAGGTGGGCCACCCTGTCCGCAGGATTTAAAAGCCCTGGTGGAACAGAATCAAAAATATAGTTTTGTGTTTTAAAACCTCTTAATACCTAAATTTACTTAAAACCATTAATTGTGTTTGTTTTTTTCTAATATGTACTCACATACTTTTAATTTGGCTCTCACCTGACATTTGAACTACTCTACAAATAAAAGGATTAATCTATTAGACAAAACATAAAGTGGATAGAATTTAGGTTCGATGAATGCTGGAAAAACTGGTTGGAGTTGCAGCAAACAAGCCTGAACAAAAACACACAACAACTTATGCAAAGTCAGGACAATCGGAAAGCAGGTTGATAAAAATCTCCCTGTTATATAACAAAAGCAAAGAGCGGCATCTTGGGTTCATTAAGTCTTGTAAACATCCTTTGGATTAGGGCAGAAACAATCGGATTGATCGTGATTAATCGATTATTGAAATAATCGTCAACTAATTTAGTAATTGATTAATCATTTAACTGGAGTATAGAGACTGTAGAATATGCATTTAGCTGACAGAGCAGTAATTATACCATAATTGTGGGAAAAAAATATTTAGCATTTAAAATAAAGAAAATCTTTGCGTCTGTCAATATGCTCTATCCAGAACTCCACAAGTCGAAAAGTTTAACTTTCACCTGGTTTAATTCTGTATAAAAATCTTCTTTAAAGGATATTTTGCTATCTGATTATTTATCGATTATCAAAAATATTATCGACAGATTAATCGATTTGCTAAATAATTGTTAGTTGGAGCCTTACTTTGGACTCTCTACATGTCAAAGAGTTTTCCTACCATTCCAAATGTAAACACAGCTGTTTGCTAAACTGAGCTCTCAGGTAACAAAGAATCAACAGGTAAAAAAACAACAGCAATAATTAAGTGTGGTGAAGACTCTGTAATAAGGAAGGACTTTTCAACATCACTGTAACGCATGACATCACTGATCCCTTAAAAAAAAAAGGGGGATCTAAAACTGAAAAACTGATGTTTTCAGTCAGAAATTTAGAATGGTCATTTTGGTCTTTTACCAGGATAACGATCCAGAATATATGAGTGAATTAACAAGGAAATTGTTCAGCTGGCACAAAATTGGCAGAATTTGTTAAAATTATGTTTCTGACCCCATTTTCCCTGCTGATCATGTTTACTGAAACTATAGGTAGGATCATCTAAAATAAATATTTCTGTTAAACTGCAAATGGGCTTAAAACTTTCCGTTTTGATAAAGCTTAGTAGATAGTTAGAGGTGCTCAGGTTATCCTGAGCTATCTCTGAAGTTATGCTGCTATAAGCTTAGACTTCTGGAGGACATAGGGACCCCTTTTTCATAATTTTGCTTCATTCTATCTCTATTCTTTGACTCTGCAGAATTTGTTAGTTCAATCTCTAACGTTATGCTCTCTCTGCCTTTTCTCACAGTAGCTTCGCCTCGTCTGTTCCTGTTTGGCTGCGACTCCATTCTGGAGAGCAATAGCATCTGTGCTGCTGCCATCAACACCTTTGTTTATAGATGTTGGAGAATAGCCTGTTTTCCAGTGTAGTCCTGTTTCTCTGACTGTGACTGGCTGGATGTGCTCTCTTCATCCTCTGACATGGGAGCTGGCTCAGAGCGCGTCTGCCTGGCTGTGTGTTTCCTGGATGGGGCCGCCTTTTACAGCTGCTTTTTGTATCTCTGCTTCTGTCTCCTGGAACCCCAGCCGCCTCAGCAGATGGCCGCTCACACTGAACCTGGTTCTGCTGGAAGTTTCTTCCTGTTAAAAGGGAGTTTTTCTTCTCCACTGTTGCTACAAGCATGCTTAGTGTGAGGGATTGTATTTAAGTCAATGAGTTGATCCAATCAACTGGTTTTCCTCAGATAGAAAACTTTAAATCAAATTGACTGTATGATCTGGTGAACTGTAAAGTGCCTTAAGATGACGTGTGTTGTGAACAATGTTACATACAGGACAGGTAAATAAAATTGAATGAAATTTGAATTAACAGTGATGTACCAAATATTCAGGTCCTCACCAGTCTGACTCTGTTTTAAGATTTCAGTTCATCTTGATTAAAAGTTGTTTCCAGTCTTGCTGCTCTAACTTTTACTCAGTACAAACCGAAGCTCTATTTGCACTGGACAGTTCCTTCAAACAGAGTTTGACTTTATTTGTGTAACATTTGAACTTCAAATTTCTCTTATTTTTGTATTTTAAAACATATCCATGAAACATGCTCAAAGGTGAACATTATATTAAAGGAAATCCTGTAAAAACCAACATCTCAGGAGACTTAAAGCTCCTTTGTCTTTTCCAAGTAATGCGCCATTTGAGAACAGTAATGCTGCCCCCCTGTGGTGATGTATGGCACTACCGTTCCACAGAGGGATGGCAGAGCGGTTGCTCCTCTTGAGGCAGTAGGTATGTGATTCCCACCACTCCCACCACACGCAAAGTGAAGGGCCCCACCTAGAGGCAATCCAAAATATTGCAACATTAATGCAACAAACACCAAGCAGTGAAATGATTACTGTGCATGTTAAAGAGATGTACCTGCACAATAGCACCAGGACGCAAAAGATGCCTCATCTTCTCCAGTATCTCAGTTTGCAGAGTGTCCCATGTTACTGTACGCTCCAAATAGAGAATAAAGGGATTCCCGAACCTGCAGACACCATAACAATGTCAAGCTTTTAACTGGATGACATGTTTTATGCACAGCTGAGCAGTAAAGTACCTGCGTCCCTGCTGTCCAGCGCAGGCTCTGTTGCAGACTAACAGCACAATCTTCTCAGCCTGCCCACTGTTCTTATTGGGACTCAGAGGCGGTGTTGTGGCCTCTTGTATTTGCGCGTTGATCCTGCTGTTATCTGTACCGTACTTCAGGTTGTTTTGATTGAGGTTTGCATGCGGGCTCCCTGAAAGAAGCACACAAGACTGCAAGGTATGATGGCATGAACAGTACTTCGTGATAACCCAAAACTTTCGTTTCAGAAAAGCTTTAGCTTCCTTCTCAACACCTTTATCTCTAATTTCATCTCAACACTTTGAACTATAATTAAATTTAAAAAGTGCTGCACCTTTCCTAAATGTTCCATATTTTTTTCAATTAACCACAAATGGGATTTTACAAGAGCCAAATGTAATATGTAAAATCTCCAGGCTGTATTTTCTTTAGCAGGTATATGACATTTGGAAATTTAAAGTTAAACACCTGTAGAGGAATAACGTCCTAAATAGATGAAAGCCGGATTTCTTTTAAGTCAAGTTAAAAAAACAATTTGTTTAGAACTGTTTTTGACTGTTAAACTGTTAACTCAGATATCATTAATTTAAGTTTATGCTCCAACTGTTTTATTCGCTTTATTACCCACTAGGGGTGTCCTAATCCGATATTAATATCAGATAACAGTCCGATATTAGCCAAAAAACGAATATCCGATTTTATCGCCCAGCATTTAAAATCTAGGAAATGTTAACGCTAATAGAAACACCGCTTCAGTTAAAAGTTTATGTAACTCAACAGCTAATTTTACATTTACATTTTACACTTTTCTTCCCTAGTTTTTATATAAGATTACTTAATCAAGCCTTTTCTAACATTCTACAATATTAAATAAGTGATGAAAGCTGGTATGATTTGTGCTAATATTGAATTAGATCGATACCAATTCTCAAAGCTGCAATATTGGTATCGTATCGGAAATAAAAACACGCCTACTTATCCTCTTTTTATCTTTACTTGCGTTTATTCTTCTTTAATTTTACTTCTATTTTGCTGGTTAATCCATGTAAATCACTTTAAAATGTCTTTTTACTGAATTGTGTTGTATAAATAAACGTTGCTTGCCTGTTAGAGGCTGTGAAAGACTTAAGACTAGGCTGTGGTTCAACTTCCTGGACAAAAACCCTAAATGTGCAGCCAGAACTACAATGGAATGATTTTGTTTAAAAACTAAATCATTTATTAGAATGGCCCAATCATCCTGAACTAAATTCAATAAATAACCATGGTAAGACTGAAAACCAACATAAACTCTCTATCCAACTTGACTGAATCTAAACTATTTTTCAAAGACAAAAAAGCAGAAATGTTACTGTTATGAAAAAGTTGAGGACATGCTGCTGGAGTTCTACCTATAATTGCAGAGAAATGTGGTTCTATAGTATTGACTTTAAAATGCCACGCTTTTCAGATTTATGCTTGTAGGAAAAAAAAAAAATGATGTATCACTGTTACAAAAAAACACCATAAAAAGATCAAAACTTGTGAAGTGAGAATATTTTTTTTAAAGGAACTATGAAGTAAGCCCAGACAAAGGCCCCATATTTGATGTCGTACCGACTCGTTTGGACCGGATCTGCTCCGGTCTGAATAGCTCAGGCGTCTCGAATGCAAAGATGGAGTCGCTCTCCTGAATGATATCAAGGTCCTCGTCGTCGTCACAGAAGGAGCGATGAAAGCCATCGAAGTACATCTCAGTGAGGACAATCTGCACGGAGACAGGAGACAAAAACAGTGAGTGGGCTGATCAGAAATTAGTCATGCACAAAGTATGAAAGCTGGCAGAAGAGGTGCAGTCACCATAATACATCAGACACCACAGGACGTCTAATAATAATATCTAATCCTCTACATAACACACTTCTCACCACGAAGCGCTCCTTCAGAAGAACATATTTCTGTAATCCTCTTATTTTTGACCGAATAATGTCTCTAAAAGGGGCGGTACCTGTTGGGCGGGGATTTTGGTCTCCTGTGCCACCGCTTGCCTCAATCTGGACATGGTACCAGAGAGAGGCACAGCCACTCCGACTCTCATGCAGTGCGAACACTTCCCTTGGTACACCACCGTCACATACAGAGGTCTGCCAAAAAAAACACACTGATTTGTTTTTGGGGCTGTTTTTTTTTTTTAGGACTCAACTAATGTTTCAAGAACGGGGCTAATTTTGGCCTTTGTCCTGCCACACGTCAGCTTGGTTTGACAAATTCTTTCAAGGTGAAGATCAATGTTATTGTCTTACTCTGACGCTAAATGCAGAGTCACCTTACCGTGTGTGAGGTACTGGGATTGGCAGTGAGATGCAGAGGAAAGGATCAAACGTGTTACTCTGTTTCTGGCAGTGAGGACAAGTCAGGGAGGACCTAAAAAATAAAGAAGAAACAAGAAATATTCAATGGATTGAGTGAAAATGTAAGAGTATTGCTTTAAAAATGGATGACATTCTTGAAAATAATAACTTTTAATATTTAATTTAGTGTATTTTTTAAAAGAAATGATTTAGAACGCTTGCAGGTTATTGGTTAATGTCTTTTTTTTTGTTGGACCAACATGTCTGACTGAAAGCCTGGATAAGGATTCTTCAAAACTGAGACTTGGAGCTCATCACCTAAGACAATCATCCAAACGCCAGGGAAAACATAGAAAACGCTTCCCAGCCTTTATAGGAGGGGTTTTGATTGTTTTCCCTTGATTATAAAAAAAGAGTAAAAAATAAATAAATATGTGGGAGTTCCCCAGGCCCAAGTCTCAGAGATCCTCTAAAATACTTAAAGGTATAGTGGATGATATTCACAAATTTCTGAAAAGACCAGCCCTCTCCACTTAAAAAAAAATGCATATGCACAACCCTGTACCCGCTCCTGAGAGGGAACGCTTATTAAAAGCGTACAACTGTTTAAAAGTTTCTGTTTGCATCGCTCATGCAAGCTTACTTTCCAAAAGAAGATTTGCAAATTTTCCACTATGTCAGACTAACCGCCGGTAAGTGAAATGGGGAAGAGCAAGTATGACGGTCGTTTGTAAACATATCACCAGAATGACTGACAATTAGGAGGACCACTTATTTTGATGATCCACCTGGACAAAGAATATCCTCCCCTATACCATTAATTGTTGACATAAGCAAGTTTTCAAGGCAAGGCAAATATATTTTTTATAGCACAATTCAGTACAAAGACAATGCAAAGTGCTTTACATGATTAAAATATAGGAAAATAAAACAGAATCAAAGCAAGTAGGAAAATAAAATAAAACAGAAAATGCAGAAACAAAAAAGAATATTAAAAACAGTTGGACTAAAGAAAATTAAAAAAGTTGAACAAATGATGTTTCAGTTGAACTGTTTAACTAGAACAGTCGAAGGCAATCCTAAACAAATGTGTTTTTAGTCTTGCTTTAAAGGAACTCAGGCTTTCCACACTGGAAGTTTGTTCCAGTTAAGTGGAGCATAGGAACTAAATGCTGCTTCTCCATGTTTAGTTCTGGTTCTAAGTATGCAGAGCAGGCTGGAGCCAGAAGACCTGAGTGATCTGTTTTTTTTCAACCAAAAATTACATTGTTTTTGCTGAAAAGTTCATATTTAGTCTTACCTGCCTTTAGCTGCATCAGAGGCAATCCTGATATATTCAGCTCATAATTTTTTATGCTCAATTAAAAGATAAAAAATACATCTTAATATTTCATAAAATCTTCAATAATAAAATCGGTGTTAATTTTCAGTGAGTTCAAAATCATGTATTTTATTTATGTTGGTTAAGAATACAAAGAAACATGGTGGGAACCGACATGTGTTACACTTCAAGAGCCACACGAAGCGCTGTACTGTTTTTACTGAGAGACGTTGCAAAGGTGTTTCAAGAAGAAGAAAAGGTTCTCTGCAGGAAGAAGCTGTGGAAGTTGGATTTCCCAATCCCTTTAAATTAATGCAGCCAATGATGTACCATTATTTACTTGTTTCAATGTAGTTAATATATCACAAAAGCCAGTTAAAACTTTACGTTTATATTTATGCAATGTTTTATCATTTTATGTCTCCTGTAAATATCAGTTTTATTTTATTTATGAGTCTGTTTTTACGAGGTTTATCTTGGTTTTGTATTTCTTTTCTAAGTCCGGGCAGCGTATTTAAGACTTGATTGAACTCTGGTGAGTAAAAACTGACAAAAGCAGAGGGATCCTATCAGAGCTGCCCTCCAAGCAGCTTGCTGAATTGTATCTAGTGGTTACCATGGAGATTTGATAACAGCCCCCTCCAAAATTTCATGAGGAGTACATCTTAACCTAAAGTTTCTTCCCTACATCCAAATATCAATGCATGTTCTGCTGTCTCTCTTTTTTGTCACTAATCAAAGATCCATGACATGGTGATCAATTTCCCAAAGCACAGCATGAATCAAACAAATAGTTAGGTTGTTCAATAGAAATTAGTGAGGTTCTGATCATTTTTTTATTGGAGATCTAGTAATTTCTACTTATTCATGGTATTTTTATTTCTCTTTTTCCAAAATTAGGGTTTGGATAGATCAAAAATTTTCTTATTAAGCAATACAATGCGATATTTTTGAGTAATTTATAATATTAGGAATTTCATTGGTGGGGGGAGCCAGAGTGATTTGTAATAAATAATAAGATTTCACCTGTATTGCGCCTGAAACAGCTCCTGTACAAAAGAGCCAGGTGCTGGCAGCGGAGATCCTTCAGGGGCCGGTTCTTCCTCCACTGGGGGCTGAGGAGACAAGGCGGAAAACGTTAGTATAGTTCATTGTAACAGTAAAAATCAATAGTCCAAATTTCTGTTCACCTTCCTGGGAGGTCTGCTGTCAGGGTGGACGATCTGGTTGAGGTCTTCGTGAACTCTGTCTAGCAGCCAGAGGAGGAACTCCTGGGCATCATGTTGGGAGTTTCCTTTGAACTGAAGGGCGCTCTTGGACACCACATTCTGCAGACAGCATTGGAGGAAACAATGTGGCATTTGGAGAAACTGATTTTCCCGCTTGCGATCCTTTGACTGTCATGAAATATTCAGTGTGTGTGAACAGGTCGTCTATCAGCTCCACCTCAAAGGTCAGCAGAGCTACAACCTGGAGCTAAGAAGAAACATTCTAAGTGGAGGATAGTGGATTGAAGCCTTGGGGCCTCTCAGGGGCCGCTCAGGCTTACAGCTGCCCATGAAATGTCAGAAATATGAGAAGCAAGCACATTTCTCCTCTGGGATATTCCTCCTCATTTTTTTAGGCAATAGAAACTAATAAAGCCTCAACAGAAAAGGCTGTGGCTCCTCCACACAGGCTGGCATTAAGGAAAAGGTCTATGGTTGAGGGTGGTTTTATTTTTTGAAATAATGATTCATGAGCAGTTGCATAAAGTGCAAAACAAAAAATCTATTTTAAAAGCAATCATTAATCATAGCAGGCGGTAGGGGTGTAAATAATTTTTTTGTATTGATGCATCAACCCAACAGGAGACGGTCCGATGCATCGACACGTCCGCAAGAGTATCGATTCATGTTTGTTTTTTTCCTCCGGTCTGTTTTTATTCATTTGCTCCTGGATGTAATTCTGACTCCCGGCTGCGGTGGCGCTAAACCTATTTTTCCCTCCTACCTCACTTCCTTTAGCCACTATCCTCTTTCCGCTTGCACGCACACGCTCACCTAAACACAGGGGCATTCTTATTTTTCAGTTAGTGAGGTTTTCATAGGCTTAGGTGGAGTACAACTTTGCTACTTGTGTTATTTGCAGTTGTTTCTCAAATAAAATGCATAATGATATTACAGCTTTTATTTATTGATTTCAAATTTGAAACACTGTCTAGCCTGTAAGGTGAAAAAAAAAAAAATTAACCAATTAATTGCATCGAATAGTATTTTGGAGTAGCGTTGGGTCAGGAAATTGATACTGAATGGAATCACTCTGATGGGTGTGATTTACACCTTTAGCAGCCAGTCCTTAAAAAGTATTCATACCCTAAAATTTTCCCATCTAGTCGCATTACAACCATAAACCCCAAAGTTGTCGTAATTTCGAGGGCGTATCTTATGATACGTATTCATATATCTTATGAACAGAAATTTGAAAAATTGCATTAGTATCCTGACCCCTATACTCTGACACCCCTAAATAAAACTCAGCCCAATCATTTTACTTTTAAAACTTGTTTATTTGCAGCCCCCAGCTTTGTGACTCTTGGTTTAAATGCAGCTGTTCTGTTTCTGTTCTTAGAGAATTTTATTAGAGAACATGAGAGAACAACCACCAACATGTAGACTTAGAGCAAACAGGGCAGGTAGAAAGTTGAAGCGGTGGTGGATATAAATAAATAAAAAAACAGTCATAGAGGTGTTAAAACCTTTTCAAGGCATTGTGTTTAAGGTTGCATCAAGAAGTTTAAATAACTGTATTTTCCAGACTATAAGCCGCTACTTTTTCCTAACCGTCAGAGGGCGGAGTCAAAGTTTGAAAGAATAAGGGGCTAATTTTCATTTTGCACAAAAAAATGCTAGCAGCAGGCACGACAGAGAACAAATTTCCGCATTAACACATTTTGAAATTTATTTGCCGTATTAAAGCTGCCGAACCAATGAAGAGACTGGGCTCGACTCCTGCAGAGCTGAAATAAATAGCCGACGAAGCTCCATCTTTCAGTAGAACTAGCATTCATCTTCATCCCTATTCCAGGGGTAATATGCAGAGCTCCCCCTACAGGTTTGGTGGGAGACATTTCAGTACATATCAGCAGATTATACCCCGTTGCGGCTTATATATGTAAGTTTTTTCAAAATATTTACTGGTCGCAGCTTATAATGAGGTGCACTTTATAGTCTGGAAAATACGGTAATAACAAATCCCACCAAGAGCAGATTCTAACGTTGCTTACATCCTACAGGTTTATAAGCTTAGTTCAAGAAAAAACATGCAGAATATTTGAAAAGCGTCCTCAAACAGTGATTGGGGGATTTTAGGAGATTAAGGTAAAACTCATTGTTTTCTCCCTTGAGAAAAATTGTGTTTTACTAGCATACATGGCAGAGAGGCATTTATTTGCCCTGCGTGCTCTTTAGAGATAATGGGCTCAGTTAACATCTCACCTGGACTGAGCGTGGACTCCACAAGGTCCATTTAGATGTTGATTGCATCTTCATTAAGTGGGGGGGCAAAAAGGCCTGGATTGTTGAATATTGGTGTCCTGAGCTTATCATTAAATGTGCAACAAAAAATGGCTTCCCTCACTGACTACAGCTTTTCAAAGGTTTCTTTTTGCCCAGGACTCAGACTAATGACCTTATAATTTGCTGTTCATATTAGGTTAAACCTTTTTTTAACAGTGTTTGACCGGTTAAAAGGATAATTTACAATATAATCTTAAAACCCCAGTTTGGCGGTGAATGTTTGGACAGATCTCCACTCTCAACAATAAAGATGTCTTTTAAAATAGATTGGATTTACTAAAGATCACCCATTTAAGGTTTTTATAAGCATTTTGGAGAAAAGAATACAATTACTGTGCAACTAATGGGACTATTTTCCGTCATTTCAATCTATGAGAGACATTATTTACTCCTAGTACTTAGAAGGTATTGCTAGCTTAGTTTCAAAGCAGTATTAATCATTTTTCTTTTAACTTCTCCTATTTAGAGCCTCTCGCTTTAACAAAAAAGATCAATAACCAATCAGACTGTTTATGCTCTGGCTGCTAACAGAGGTACAAAAAAGGGCCAAAAATAGTTACGCTGCCAAGAATAAAGCTGATGCTCAATGACCCTTTTCAGTTTAGCTTCACTTCTGGGCTTTTTTTGGGACTTTTGAAAGAAAATAGGCTGAAAGATTGAAAGAAAGTGTTTATGATGTGCAGGCTTTTGTTAATGTGACAGGCAGTTTTCAGTGATTCCAGCTGCAGCTCATAGAAAAAGAACCTTGTCTTCTTAAGGAACATAAGTCAGGCTTTATCTTCATCAGATCCACATTATGCCCCAAACAATTCCCGTCTATCAGGGCTGCTCAGAAAAACAATCAGATAACAATTTTTGCAAGATGAAATCAGTCAAATTGTTGCTTTGTAGACTTCTCATTTAAGCATTTTAACAAGAAGTTCAGAGGAAGGAAAAAACTGTTCAGGTGCAAAAGCAGCTAAAGTAACTGAAGCCACCAGAGAGGATTGGAAAGCAAATTTCTTTCAAGACTTAGGATGAAATTCCCAGGATAGAGACTAGCTGCAGTCAGAGCTTCAGAAGACCCACTGAAGGACAAGACCTCCAACTGTGAAATTCAATACGGTAAGATAGAAACTGGGATGATGTCAGAGGGGTCTTCTATGAGCTGAGGAAAAAAGTAACGGACCGTATTGACCGATGTGTTGGTCTGTTTAATTTGGAAATTAAAGTTCTTAGAGTCTGGAGAAAGAGTAAGGAGGAACAGAACCCAAGTAGTAGTTGATGGATACGTTAGAAAAAGACAATGTCCTTAAACAGGAGCATCATCAGCATCACAAACTGATTAATCCAGGTGTATCAGGCCAATCTCATCATGGTTACTGACATCAGACACACCTGGGTTCATCAAATTGTCCAGTAATCAAAGACAGAAAAAAAAGAAGCTGGTTGCAGTTTAGGAAGTAGAGCAGTTGGGCATATAAGCCAATTTTTACCATCTAGCTTTCTGGTAGTTCTGCAGTAATACCAGCAGATGGCGCCAAGTCTGTTTATGTTTGCTCAGGGTGCCTGGAGCATGAGTTCTATTTAGGATAAAAACTGACCCATCAGGACTGAAACTTGGTGTATATAACCTTATTTTGTCATGAAAAAATGGTTTTTGGTCTTTTATGTAGAGGCATATACAGAGACTATTCCCCTTTAAATTTAGGACTATTATTGGCTTAAACTAGAACCATCACTATTAACAGAAATACAAGCTTGATCTGAATGTAAGTATATATAGAATATATAATTTTTCCTTTTGGACCATATTGTTAGATAGTGAAATCATGCACAGCTCCAAGTGCGTAGAAAATATTTTTCTTGTCTTTGGACTTAATTATATAAATAATTAAATTCTTGCAGAGAGAGACCAAGGTCTTAGCTGAAGTTCCCCAAGCTAATGGGGCTTAAACATATCTGTATGTAATCGCTGTTAGTGGTGGTGAGGTGTTATACAGGAAAAAGGGCCTCAAACCAAATTCTTTTAGGACTCAAACAACCTTGGCTCAGCCCTACAGCAGAGTATTAGGGCCAGCACAGAGATTTTTTTTATTCTGAGAATAAAGTCGTAATGTTATGAGAATAAAGTCATAAAATTACGAGAATAGTCTTAAATTACGAGAATAAAGTAAAATTACGATAATAAAGTCATAAAATTAAGAGAATGAAGTCGTAATATTATGAGAATAAAGTAATAAAATTACGAGAGTAAAGTCGAAATGAGAATAAAGTCGTAACATTTTGAGAATAAAGTCATAAATTATGAAAATAAAAATTATGACAATAGTCGTAATATTATGAGTATAGTCATATAATTATGAGAATAATGTTGCAATGAGAATAAAGTCGTAAAATTATGAGAATAAGGTCATAACATTTTAAATATAAAGTCATAAAACTATGAAAATAAAGTCGCAATGAGAATAAAGTCATAAAATTACGAGAATAAAGTCGTAAAATCACGAGAATAAAGTCGTAACATTTTGAGAATAAAGTCATAAAATTATGAGAATAAAGTCGCAATGAGAATAAAGTCATAAAATTATGAGAATAAAGTCGCAATGAGAATAAAGTCGTAAAATAATGAGAATAAGGTCGTAACATTTTGAGAATAGTCATAAAATTAAGAGAATAAAGTCGCAATGAGAATAAAGTCATAAAATTACGAGAATAAAGTCGTAAAATCACGAGAATAAAGTCGTAACATTTTGAGAATAAAGTCATAAAATTATGAGAATAAAGTCGCAATGAGAATAAAGTCATAAAATTATGAGAATAAAGTCGCAATGAGAATAAAGTCATAAAATTATGAGAATAAAGTCGTAACATTACGAGAATAAAGTCATAAAATTCTGAGAAAAAAGTCGTAAAATCACGAGAATAAAGTTGTAACATTTTGAGAATAAAGTCATAAAATTATGAGAATAAAGTCGCAATGTCACAAGTTGAAACATTATGACAATAGTCGTAATATTATGAGTATAAAGTCATATAATTACGAGAATAAAGTCCAAGGAGAATAAAGTCGTGAAAATATGAGAATAAAGTCGTAAACTTACGAGAATAAAGTCATAAAATTCTGAGAATAAAGACGTAAAATCACGAGAATAAAGTTGTAACATTTTGAGAATAAAGTCATAAAATTATGAGAATAAAGTCGCAATGTCACAAGTTGTAACATCATGACAATAGTCGTAATATTATGAGTATAAAGTCATATAATTACGAGAATAAAGTCGCAATGAGAATAAAGTTGTAAAAATACAGGAATAAAGTCGTAAACTTACGAGAATAAAGTCGTAACATTTTAAAAATAAAGTCATAAAACTACGAGAATGAAGTTGGAAAATAACGAGAATAAGGTCATAAAAGTCAGACAATTAAGTCGCGATGAGAATAAAGTCATAAAATTACGAGAATAAAGTCGTAAAATCACGAGAATAAAGTCATAACATTTTGAGAATAAAGTCATAAAATTACGAGAACAAAGTCATAAAATTACGAGAATAAAGTCGTAACATTTTGAGAGTAAAGTCATAAAAATACGAGAATAAAGTCGTAAAATTACAAGAACAAAAAATCGCAAAATTACGAGAATAAAGTCGTAACATTTTGAGAATAGTCATAAAATTACGAGAACAAAATAAAGTCGTAACGTTACAACAATTAAGCTGTAATATTGAGAATAAAGCTCCACCAATCAGCAACCTGAATCACTTTGACATTCTGCCCAATTTGAAGCTGGTGTTCTAGAAGATTTCCTTATTTGTCAAATCGATGCCAAAGCATAACTTCACATGATGCTCGACATTTTAGAGAAGAAAGTGCTTCTTGTAAGAGTTGTCATAAAATACAGCTTTATTCTCAAAATATTACAACTTTATTCTGGTAATTTTGTGACTTTATTCTCAAAATAAAAAAGTCTCCACACTAACACTCTATCATACAGTTCTGTGTTTTGGTCCATCTAAAGATATTTTTAATGATACCCTTTAGAAATAGTGGCCCCCATCAGATCATCCTATTTTAGAAACGGCCCTGCCCTTTGCCCCTGTGAGCTCCTCCAAAGTTTACCTTGAAGTCTCTGCTGTGCTGAGGAGTGTACTCAAAGGTCCAGAGAGCCCGGACCAGGCCGGACAGCTGCTCCGTCACCTCTCCGGTGTCCTGCTGCTGCTGCTGCTGGCTGACCCCCTTCCTCAGCACCGGACCCCCGTTAGGCTTCGCCTTGTCGCTGTTCCCGCTGCTCGCCTCACCCCCCTTGAACTGCTCCAGAGCCAGGTACTCTGCGAACAGCTCCGTGTTGCTCAGGCACTGCAGGATGGCGTTCATGAAGCAGGTGTTTCCGTGGTTCTTGAGTCCGGCGACCCCCGGCACCTTGTCCCCGAAAGGGAACCCCCCGCAGTCGCTGTCGTCGGACGGGACGGAGCCTCCGGCGATGCTCGGTAACAGAGACGCCTCATCCTTCTCGTCGTCGGCGGCCTGTTCTTCGGTGCCGAAGTGGGAGAGGGTGGACAGGGTCCGGAGGACTCTGTTCATGAAGCTCCCCACGGAGCGGACCGAGCTCCTCCGGAACAGCTTCTTGCTGAAGGATTTCTTCTCCTTGCTGCTGACCACTTTGGACATGATGGCTCTCCTTATGTTACGCCTTATTTCCAGAAAGGGTTCCCCGTGATATGCTCACAACATCTCGCCTCCATCACCGTGACAGCTTCCATCGCTCGGCATATTTCAGGGAAACTTAAAGGCCCCGCAGCTCTGGAGGATCCGACCGCACAGAAACGCAGCAGAACCGGATCAGCCCACCCGCAGCCAACTGTCGCTGTGGTCCACGTTAGGGCTCCTCCCGCACCAGAAAACAGCCATCAGCATCTCCAGCCGATACAGGAGCACATGTGCCATTGTTCAATTCCAGCATCAGGGAGGTGAGGCGGGCTGCTGGAGTTTCCGTCCGACATAAACATCTAAATCAGCCTCAATTAGGGCTGAGAGAGGCGCGCGGAACGCCTCATCATTTATTAAACCGCAGCTCCACCCTCTCAAATGCAAACTATATCATCCGTCTTTAGATCCATCATGATGTTAGGGGGGAAATGTTTACCCTAAATGTCCCGCGCATAGGAGTGGTGCCAAACTAGGGAAGCCCCGGAGCGGAGCGACACAGCCCGCCGCTCCCTGGCGCGCGGCCGCGGAGAGACATTACCGAGTTAGGGTCGGTGTCCTTTTATCCCCATCCGAAAGTTGTTCCCTTTTCGGTCCGTTATTTGTCTTTGATTGAATGCGCCTTATTTCCGCCTCCGGATGGGCTTCACTGCGAGGCCGCTGCTGCTCGTCTCCATCATCGGTTGGAGCCGCGGATACTGCAGGCTGGCAGGGCGGTAACGGCTGACGTCACGCCCAAACACTGGTCCATGTTGGAGGAGAGCGGGTCCAGCAGCATGTGATGCTGATGATGCTCCATCCTCATGGAGCCAAAACCTCAGAACATCCGGATCAGATGCAGTAAAGTCCATCTCTACCCCTCTGATGAAATAAAAACAATAACTGCATTTTAATCTAATTTCTTTTAAATATAAAACAGATAAATTAATAGTTTTTGTATTATTTTTGGTTGGTTGCATGGACCTTTCTATACAGGGGCCAACGGGGCCCCTCTAGATCATGTAAGTCAACGTTATATAATCTCATATTTTTCATCTAAAACTCTTTAATTCAAAGTTAATGAATTGTTTTTTTTTTTCAGATTTTTTCAAAGCAGGAAGAATATCTAATAAAAAAGATTGTGCTGTATTTTTAAGTTAGAACCACAAAGTTCAGTGATGCTCCTGACTGATGAACACAGTGCAGAGCATCATGTGGAAATGGGAGAAAACGATTGCTTTTATTTTTTTAATAAATAATACAAATCTAAAAATAAGCCATATAAAAAAATACTTTTAGTTCTCGCTGCAGTTTTAGAGGTTGTCTTCATATTTAAATGTGTTGAACAGATTCACTGTCTTTGCAAAGGAAAGCATTTATTAGGATGGTGCATTCAGGGGGATGGGAAAACGTACTTTTCCACTACATGTCATGTTTTGCTGATGAACCATTAAAAAACGCAAATAATTTTCTTAACTCATTAGAGCGGCTTTTTTTAAGCATGCTTGCAGTCACCCCCACATGGCTTGGAGCAGAGCTCAAGAAGGTTCTTCTCGTGTTTTTTTTTTTCTTGTCAGCCTAACATGGATGGTTCTAGACAGGGACCAACGGGGGCCAGTGCCCCTGTTATAGATTCAGTGGTATTGAGATAGGATCCCAGTTTTCTTCTGCTAAATGTTTTTTTTTAATGCTCTAATTTTTATGCCTGAATTTATCAGTATTTTCAGATTTTGTAGACAATAGCTACGTTTACATGCGCAAAATTTCCCCGATCCGATCCAAACCTTGGTTGATCGGAAATTCAAAATCTCCGTTTACATGGACACTAAATGAAATGATCCGATCATGACGTGTGTATACATGTACCAAGCGTTGGATCAGATTAAATCTTTTAAGCATGCGCAGAACTTCCTGCCAAATTTGGCAGTTCTGTCTGCGTCTGGTTTTTGGGAGGCCTGACAAACGATGCGCTCGGAGCGAGCGGAAAGAAAAAAGGAGAGAGGAGGAAAAAAGCGCTTGGCAGCGAAATGTACGTGAGAAATAGAGAATGAGCGTTTGAGCCGGCGTGGGAGAGCGAGTGGGCTGTGGAGAGAGAAAAGAGGAAGAGGAGGAGGATAAATTCCTGCTTCCTGCAGCTTTAAATGAACTTGAGTGTATAAGTCGGCGTTCCTAGACTCCCCCCGCCATGTTGTTCACAGCGAGAGCGACCGGTGGTTTCCTGTTGTTGACAAGGCGGAAAAACGTCACGCTGACGTCGCACACATGCGCAGTGAAGATTATTTTACTCTTCAGATCCGAATGGGTGTTTACATGGACGCCAATCGGAATGGCGATCGGCAAAAACCACCTCTCTCATTCGGAATTAAATTTAGATCCGATCGGACCGAATCGGATTAGAATCTTCAGTCTGACATGTTTACATGAAACATTTTTGATCTGATCAGGCCTTCAATCCGATTAGTTGTGTCCATGTAAACGTAGCCACTGGTCTTTCTAACTTAAATCAATCAAAAAACATGTTAAATTCCTAACTTATGAATGTATATTGACCTAATAAGACATATCATTTTAATTAAACCTTATTGAATAGAAATTTCACTTCATGCAGCTCTCTTAATATATTTGAATCCCCTGTCCTGTTTTTTATTTCATGCTTTTCTGGCCCCCTGGTACATTTGGTCTAGAACAAGCACTGGTTGGTTGTGCTGTTGTTTTTACATCTCTTTGCAAGTGATGAAGCAGACTGAAGATGTTTTATCATTATCTCCCTTTTATCAACTCTTTCTTTTATCTTTTCTCCTTTTTTCCCCCTCCCTGTTCTACTTACATTGTAGTGTCCATATAATCTGTATTACTCCCTGCATGAATCATGATAAATCTACAGTATTTATATGCATAAATCAAGTGGAACACTATGGCGATAGTCCTACTGCTCCACTTGAGAAAGTAAAATCTGTTGGGCTCTTTTTGGCATCAAGACAATTATTGTTAATGCCACATCGCCAGATGGGACACTGTTGAAAAAAAAATTAATTAATTAATTAATTAATTAGTAGATTTTATGTTATGATTCAAGTGTCGCATTTTTTATTATCTCATAAAAAAAATGTATTTCACATTAACGAGATAGCTAATTCAATAACAGGCATATTAAGCTGATTAAGTCGTATTGCTATAGGGCAAATCATTATATGATATAGTTTCATAATAGGAAGGTGATAATAATCACATAATTACCTCCTAATTATGTGAACATATCTATTAGTGTGAGGGTGTTTCTTATCAACACAAACTCAAAATCCAAAATATCTTCCATGCATTTTAAAGGAATGTGCACTGCAAAAAATCTGAATCTAGATAAGTCATTTTTTCTTAAAATAAGTGCATTTGTTCTTGGATTGAGGAGGTAAAAGAGACATTTTGCCAATGGAACAAGACAACTTACACTTAAAATAAGAAAACACAATTGCACTGTCTTATTTCAAGTGCATATTATCTAATTATCTTATTTTAAGAGTAAAATTACTCATTCCATTGGCAAACTTTCTCATTTACCTGCTCAAATTAAGGGTGAATACACTCAATTTAAGAAATTTTTTACTTATTTCTAGATCGTTTTTGCAGTGTGGATGTTTATAAAAAAAATGTTTTATTTCACCCTAGACGATTCATTTAAAAATAGTTCTGCTCAAGTATTACACAATCTCCCTTTGAAAATACAATAAGTGGAGAAATATATATATATATATTTTTTTTATTAAATTGTATTGATCTTAAATTGGAGAAATTTACCTCTGCATTTAACCCATCCCCTTGGGTAGCAGTGGGCTCCCATTGTGCGGTGCCCGGGGAGCAATGTGAGATTAAGGGACTTGCTCAGGGACCCAGAGAGGAGGCTGTGGGGATCAAACCGGGTGCTTTATTCCATGTTACTTTTTTCCATATCTTCATTCAATGTTGCTAAAAGAAAGTCCCTGAGATGATAAATTAAGTTGTGGTTTTCAAACATGAAACTGGACCATAGTGAAGTGTTTTTTGGAGGCAATATCCAGATTAATGTTCTAACTAGAGGCCTTAAGCCAGATGCTGGTGATCGACTTTGTACTTGCTTCTTCTGACTTTTAGCCAAATCTCTTGGGACACTCAGGTGAAGAGTGGGATGTAGCTGTCCACTGATCACCTGGTGATGGAAGAGAAGGAAGCTTGACAGATTCGGATTAACTAAGCCAGTATTGAGGGCCTGCTTGGAACATCAAGCAGAGCCCTTATTCAGGGACATATTGAACTCCCACCTCATGGAGAGCTTCTCTCAGATTAAAGGTAAAGCTGGGAACATCTAGTCTGAGTCGACCGTGTTCTTTGCCTCCATTGTTGATACAGCTGCCTGCTGTGGCTAGAAGTTCTGCAGTTCCCGTCCAGGCAGCAACCCCCAAATCCAGTGATGGCCCTGAGGGACACTGTTGATATATATAGGCTTTATATTTTATGTTCTTTGACAATCATACAAGTTTTGTATCACAAATGAAGCACTCTTATTACCTAGGCACTCTCATTATCTAAGTTTCTGTTTCCTTGAGAGCATGATATAATTTGTTTTTGTACTCACAACCTCTCGGTTCCATGCTCTGGGAATGATGTAATGTTTTTGGTTTCGGCTGTCCACGAGCCTTGGGTGGGTTCGGGGGGTGCCCGTTCCATATTCTGGTTTCTGTAATCATGCACTCAAGGCGTGAGAGGGAGCGATCACTTTTCCTGATTGGGTGAAAGATTTTATTTTGAAGGATGGCGGTTGGCACTGGCAGGGTCTGCTAGGGTTGCGTACGGACGCCTAGCTGCGCGGGTCGCTGCCCTGCCAGGATCGACCGGCCTGCCGATCCTTGTGTCACGGTAGGGGGACGATATAAATTGTATTGAGACAATATAATTTGTATTCAGCACCGTGCCTTGATTGATGTGCTTGCTTTGCTGTTTTCTGTGGCGGAATAAAACAACACATTTTAATTCTAGCAGAAACAGTTTGTGTGTTCAGTGTGGGTCATCTTTATTGCAGACTCCTCCCGATCCTGCCTTAATTTCATAATACAACTGTGAAGAAAGAAGGAACCAAATCTAAACAGGTTGGCCTGTTGGGTCCTTAAAGCTACGGAAGAGGATTAGGGCCACTGGGGAAAAAAAAAAAAAAAAAGTTAACTGATTTTTTTTATTTTATTTCAGTATAGTATGGGAAAAAAGTCAGAATTCTGACTTTTTTTTCCCATGTTAAATTGAAGTAAATTTTAAAAATCAGTTAACTTTTTTTTTTTTCTTTTCAGTGGCCCTAATCCTCTTCCATATAAAGCAGCAGCAGGTTCTGTGAGGCCAAACGTACAGCGGTGGACGCAAAAACTCAGGCTTGGGAGGAGTTTGGAGAAATTATGGAGAAATAACATGAGTTTGCCTCAAAGTGATTCTGGCAAATCAGTGGAGGGGGGGAACGGTGCTTTGCTTATACATATTTTAGTGGATGTGGGGAGCTGCTGAAGTTGACTGAGGACACTTATGGGTGAAAGGAATATTTTGAAGATAACCTCCTGCCAGATATCTTTTTTTCCCTTAATAAATTATAAAAAAAAAATAGCAAAACAGAAAAATCTGTAAGCAAATACCTATTTTTAGCTGCACTGTAGTCCCACATCACAGCACTGGTAAACAGTGTGGCTTCTATCAGAATTCACACATCCACCGCTGCATTCCTAAATTGCAAATA